AGGAGCCAGAAGAGAAAAAAGAAAAGATGTCCAGAAAAAAAAAAAGCGAGTGAAAAAGGCTGGCTTGACCATTGCACCGCAAGTTTTAGGTTCTCGCGACTTCTTTATACAAGCGAGACTGATGCAACGGCAAGGATCGTTCACACACCAAGCGCCACTCACTTGTATCTTAGCACCTGAGGAAACGTGTGTCTTTAGAGGTGTTCATTTGGAACATGCCTCCTAGAAGCGCCGGGGCCATCTAAAGTGAGCAGTTTCAAGAGCTACACTGTACTCTTCCCGACATTCCACGTTTAGCACTTGCACGACTGCCATCAGCCAGCCGGAACGAATGAAAAGACTTTCAATTTATGGCGCTGTATTCCGGCAATTCTTTCAACCCATCCTGGACCGTTTTCTTTCAAAATTATCGGAGTGTGCCCGAAGATCAACTGAGACAGCAAGAACCTCGTCTAAATGTGTCGAAAATTTCGTGAACGTTACACTTACTGCGCGTCAGAGTGGGCAATACTGGTTCTACAATCAGCGCGGCTAAGTAACAGAAATGGAACCAAACGAGGGTCAAAGTCGCAGTGCCCAACTTGTTCGTTGCGGTGACCTTTTAGAGGGATGGCGGGGTGCAGCCTACAAAGCGACCGAGGCCGGTCGCGCCGTAATAGGAACAAGCCTAAAATGTGTCGACGCCACAGAGACGTGCTACGCCGGCTGCGCAGCGTTCACCCGCACTCGCATACACACACACAGGCACACGCGCTACGCAGTCACACACATATTGCGCCGCGCCGCCCTAAAGAACAACAAAGCGCGCACACCTTCCCCTCTCCACGCTGGAAGGGAGGGGATGGCGCAGCCTTAGACAAGTGGGTCGTCAGTGCAAAACCGTGGGGGTTTGTTTCAGTGGCCGAGAGAAAGAAGGCGCTCGTGCGGCCTGTACAAGAAACCGAGACGGGTTCCAGCAAGCCCTGCGTTTGTCCTCGTCCCGAGAGTGAGGCTGCGTGGCGAGGGGTTTGCTCGACAAGACTGAAATCGTCGTCGTACAAATAAGACCGAGACGTGTTCGGATTTCAAGGAAAGAGAGAGAGAGTGACATGTGTGAGCGGCGGCGTCTCTTCGTCTCACGTGGCGAGCTCTCAGCGACGGAAATGCGCACGGTCCGTCCCGGCGCGCAAGAGGGGGTCAAAGCGAAGCAGCATCGACAGGAGCTCGACATGGGCCAGTTATTTTTTTTTTTTTTTTCAATCGGCGGCGGCGATACGGCGTCAGCGGGTTCCCGTCCCTTCACAACCTCGGCCGCCCCCTCTCCCTCCTCCCCATACAGAGAGGAGAGAGAGAAAATTCGTGCGAAGAGTCCGGCGGCCAGTCAGCCGTCGTCGCGCGTGTAGCTGTCCTCTCGGTCGAGCAGGTATGCGGCGCCGCAACAGCAGGCGTGCAAGAACGCCAGCACCACGCCGTGAGCGACCGGGTTCGCGTCGCGCCGGCGCCTCCGGCCGCTGGCTTCTCCGCCACCACGGCGCGATCGCCCCCACTGACTCTGATGCTGCGCCGGCGGCTGCAGCGCGGCGCTCGTCGCCGCTCCGGCGTCGGTGGTGGCTACCGCCGCTGATGACGCCGTCGTCGTCGTCTTGTGCCGAGGGCCGCTGCCCGCCTCGTCAGTCTTCGGAGGACTTCTCGCCGCTCGACGAGGCCAGCATGGGCTCCGTGTTGCGTCGCTTCATCTTGCTTTTCCTGAGCATGGTGGCCTGGACGGCGTTTACGCCGCAATTCACGCGTGTGTTGCGTTCGACATTTAAAGTATCATGTGTGTTTTTTTTTGTTGAGTTTTTTTGCGTCGTGGCGAGCGCGTTCGAGCCGATTCATCGTCGTTGTATTTTTTGTGTGATGTGAAGCGCACGATAACGTGTATTTGTTTGGTTCGCAGGTTCGAATCCGACGCAGCGTAGACGGTGTAACGAAGAGACGAGGAAGATAGAATTGGGGTGGGGGCGAGAAACGGTGGGGTTGGAACGGAACGGTGAGCCGACGTAGCGTGAAACAAGGAGGTGAGGAAGAGAAGCGGGTGGGGAGAAGAAAAGGGGGAGGGAAAGAAAAGTGAGTGAAAGGGTTCCGAGTAACGGTCCCTTGGCGGCAAGCAAAAAAAAGTGTGCGAGTGCTTCAGCTATACATACATTCGTGGCACAGAATCAAGCAGAACAAAAAGCAAGATTTTTAAAAGTACCAAAAATTGTAATCTCGCTTCGATTCTACCCGGCATATACTGCAGAGAGATCTGTGAATTTCGGGATGCTGATGTTATCTACGCCTGCCTTGCAAATACAGACTGACTTTGTCACTCTCGGGTGCTGTTCAAGAAGCGTGTTCTGTACGAAACTCAAGAGTGAAATCACGAAATCTAACCGTCATGGCTTTGTTCAGTGCTATCCTTGAAACTAAGGAACTATAACACTCAAAATATTGCGGGCACAGCAAGGAGACTGACGATTTTCGCGTCCAAATGGCTGTCTGCGTATCTACAGTGCAAAACCGTCTACACGAAAATCTAAATTGAGGCGAGCACACAGATGCGAAATTTCGTGAGCGGCAAGCCCTGGGATGTTTGGCAGTAGCCCGGACGCATTATAATTTACAGACAGTTAGCCGCTAGCAGTTAAGGCTAGTGCATAAGCAATGCGAAGTATGGCTTTGGCATATTCCAAACACTTAGCAGGCTATTTAGCGACAACTGCCGCAGACATTTTGGGTTAACGCAACTTCAGCTCGGTCGCCATTTTCTTTACGTGTTATGCTGAGCTGCCGCAATGAGCAAGTCGACCAATTACGGGAACCGCAGTTGCTAAATTGAATTGCTTGAACCTCAATTCGCGCGCATTGTTAATGTGTCGTTATGCGCACTGGCTGCCATGTTTAGCAAGACTGGAGAAAGAAAAACGTTCGCACTGGTTCTGGTACCTTGGAGTGGTGTGTGTGTGTGTGTAGCTAATAGTAAAAAATTAAAGAGAAACATACTGAATGAGAAGAAAACTGAGGGACAAATTGACTTCGGGAACATTCACGACACATGCTCACTGTGTTTCTCAGGGAAGCATACAGAGGATGTGCAAGGCAGGCAAGGACTGAATCAACCATTCGAATAACGCATCGAACGAAACCAACAAAAAAAATGTTAATCAGCGACAGCTGTGTCAAAACTCTGAATCCTCATCTTTCCTTTCTAATCTGCAGCAACTTCTTTTTGATTAGCACAAACACAAAAACGAGCACTTGCAAGTAAAGCACCGACTCTACCATTGGTTGGTGTTGCTTAACTTTATAGTTACCATACCAGAGAAGTCATTGGCTGTAGCAAAGCAGTTCTACAGTGCAATGTTTTAACAGCGTGCCAAACCACTTTGGAATCACTGTCAGCCGCAGTGTATGACTAAGTCGGCATGCTGTTCATACGTACACCAACCCTATAGTGAGAAAGTGTGGTAGAAAAAAAAATGCTCGGCAATACTGATCCCCGCGAGAGTGTTCCACGGCTTCCCGTACAGTTATAAGTAAAGACGAATGTCTTGGATTATTTTTTTAAAGATTATTTAGAGCGTCCACATTTAGCTGGCGTGTTTTACAACTGAATTTGCGTATGCTCCTCGGTGGTACAGTGGTTATAGTGCTCGGCTGGCGACTCGAAAGTCGTGGGTTCGATGCCCGCATTGGCGGTAGCATTCCTACGGAGGCGACATGTGCACTGCTATGTCAGTGCATGTGTAAAGAACAACAGATGGTCGAAATATCCGAAGCCTTCCGCTTCGGCATGCATTACAATCGTATCGTCGTTTTTTTTTTTTTTTTTGCACGTACAACAGCCCCAAATATATCTAAATATGCGGTGCCGCGTAAGCATGCGCAGTTGAGACAAAACCGCCGCTTCGGCAAATAGTGAGGCCTAATTTGGCAGAGCTTCCAATGGGATATCGTTTGTTTTCAATCGACAAGTTTGTTTGTTTTTGTTTCATTACTGATAGAAGGTTATCAACGAAGGTCTTGTGTTCCCGTGTTTTGGTATGTTCTAATGTAATAATTTTTTTTTCTGGGGTTTTAGGCGCCAAGAGCACGACGCAATTATGAGGCACTCCGCAGAGAAGGGCTGCTGCGGGAATTTCGGCCATCTGGTGCTCCTCAAAGTGCACCGAGAAGTACACGGGCCTTTAGCGCTTCTCCTTCACCGAATCAATGTGAACTCCGGGACCGGGATCGAATCCGGGACCGGGATTGAATCCGCGACTTCCGGGTCAGCAGCCGACAGCCGTAGCCACTGTGCCACAGCGGCGGAATGTTCTTAAGCGATTGCTTTGTAGAACGCGAGTATAATAGCACGCAGTTAGACAGGGATTCAGTAAGCTACACGGCAATAGCGCTAGCTCTCAACAAAAGTTTCTTTCCCGCCACTGATAAATACTAATGTACAAAACTGGGTGAGGCGATTACGCTCGTCACATAGGCATGACTGCAAACTATCTGAAATCGGCATGAAGAAACGCAAGTTATTTTGTTTTTTTCAGATAAATTAACAGAAGGCTCGTTGACACGCCGTGTGCCTAACCGCTCAACCACTCCGAGTGTGATAATCTGACGAAATTCATTCTCGTTGCTCTTGGCAATCACGTGAACTTTGTCAAACTATAAGGCTGACAACCACATGTGCCGCAGTGCACATCTAAAGGATCGTATTTGTGTTTTCTGACATTGCCATGGTGCTCTCTAAAACGATCGTTTGGGAATTTAGCGGACTGGCTTAATGTCCAACTTTGGATAGGATCCGATACACTGCACGATCAACGCATCTTACGAACTCCGTTCCCGTGTGTGCGCTATTCAACTCACCTTAGGTACCAACAAGCCCAAGCTATATACCGTTCTGGGCTTTGCGAAAGCTTCGAAGAACATTGAGCGCTCTCTAGCACGTCTCCGTGGAACACTCTCGGCCTGAATGTGCGTAGCACTTGCAGCACGAAGCTTACCTTCAAGGCCGATCGGAGCACGACGACTTCGCCGGGCCCCTGAATCCAAGGCTCACCGTCTACTTGAACAGGCATTTCCGTGTTTAGCCGTATCCGCAACTGAAAAGTCGAGACGGCAGAGAAACAGGGCTATCAGCTAAAGCGTCCCGCGTTCAATGATCGAGTGCGCCGACAGTGGAAATGCACTGCCCGAGCAGCGGGCGTAAGCGGATAAAAAAGGGGGGGAAAAAAGTAAATAAAATGACCACTTGACTTGTCCACAAAATATTATTCGTCTAAGTGTTCCGCTGCTTGCTTTCTCTATCTGGTCGATAACATCGTGCCACGAATGGCATGACACGCGTTTACACACGTGCCCCTCAAAACTCAAGATATAATGGTATCGCAGAACTAAATAAAGGACGCACACACGTGGTAGATTACGATCATTCTTTAAAGACAATATAATGGCCCGTCATTTGACATGATGCCGTGTGGACAAGTCACATGAGTTACGCGAAAGTAAATCTCATCGGGAAACTTACTCGTAACGTTCTCTTCTCCGCAGAAAGACGTATTATGAGAAAAAGACGACTTCTTAAACGCAACTCGATTTGTTGATTTTCTGTTCTTTGCCCAGATCTTACGCATGTTCGCGCATGCGCGCAAAATAGAACGTTGCTATGAGTAAAATTATCACAAGATTGTGTACAGCATGCCAAACGCCGATAATAAACACCGAACGCTGATAACTGTATGCATAACGTCTGCTGAGGACAAACTTAGCAGTGCCGCAAGCTTGCACTTGTGCTTCTACTTTGAACATTTAGGTAAGAATTCTCCGATTCGCTCTTGCAATGCAGATGTAAAGCCGCACCGAATGCGACTCATTCAATGGCTAAATGAACCGAAAATTGAATTGCTTGTTTTGCCCCAAATCTGTCTCGTTGCTTTTTCGTCTGCTTGTTTTTTTTTCTTCCTGCTACGAATTCCGAGCCACGAATTTGTCACATCTAAGTACGTATCATTCAACAGCAACTAATGGACGATTGAAAGCGTAAAATGACAAGATCATGTTTGAACGCGTCCGCTGTGACTGGATTGCAACTTGAACAGGCCGACAGGTATCTCAACAACGACAGCGCTCAACCAAGTAGTGAACCGGTGCGCACGACACCGCTGATTGGTTACCAACCGTCAACGGCCGCCATTGTGGCGCATAGACAAACAAATAGCGTGCAAGTATAGTATAACTCACGTGGCCCCCCTGCGCGATGCGGATGGCGCTGCGCAGCCCGCTCTGAATCTGGCCCATGTGGACGACGCCAGTGACGCCGACGATCTCGAGCATACCGTCGTAATGCGTCGGTTTCGAGAACATGTCCTCCTTCTCGGGCCCCCAGGGGTTAGCACCGGAACCCCAACTGCGACCACACGAGAGGACACTCGGCGTTTAGGCAATCGTTTAACGTGTACATAGCCGTGCAGCGTGAACAAAGAAGCTCTACGAAGAAGGAAGTTATTAGATGGTCGGGGCGCCATAGACGGTGATAACTGAAGTAAGAGAGTTAGGTTCACATCAGGGGCAAAACAGGGATAGCGACAAATTGCTCATAGGCTGCTCTCGCCCGTACGATTTCACTCGCACGTAGAATAACGGAGGTGTGGGTTCATGCTATCGCACTTGGCCTGTATACGGTATACCTCACGGCGACGGCATGATTGCGCCGGGAATGCCGATAAAATTGCTATCGCAATACGTAACGAAATGGTCAGATGGTTACGAGTCGCCAACCAGTTAAAATGAATATTGTGACAAAAATCATCGCCACCATTTTCAACTGGCCAGCAATTGACATAAGCACGATAGCTATAGCGTAAATGTGGAGAAAGGAAGCAACTGATATAAACGTAGTTCTTACAGGCTTACGTAGCGGTGCATTATGTAGAGTCTATTGCGCCAAAAAGAGAAAAAAGAAAAGAAAAACACGGAAAAGCGTAGCTAAAATATTAGATTGTAATATATAGAGTCCGATTACAAGAAACAAGCCAAGAGCTTAGTTGACATCACTTCGACGCAAACGAGGCACCAAAAAAAAAAACGTTTTGTTTCTACATTTGCAAAATCTAATCACGAGATCGATAGACGTGATTGCTACTAATATTTGTCAAAGAGCGTGCTATTGAGGCATCAGCTGAAAAGTTCATGCCGAGTAATCTGAAACTATCAGTGGAATTCTATGAAAATGATTTCTAGGTTAAATGGTTAAACAAACCAGTAACATGCGGATGTTAACCCTTGGAACAGTGGAAAACTGTGTCATATGGTTCAACAGTTTCTTGTCAACCTCAGTTTTTCTGAGCAATCATTTCAAACATATCGTGCTCACTCATTCAAACTACTTTAGCTGTATTTCCGACAAAGCTTGTCAAAGCGCTCAGACAGCAGCTAGGTAAAAAAAAAATATCACTAAGCTAAATCATCACGTTTCGCCTACTTTTATATTACAAAAATGTTTTTAAAAATCTTTGCTCGAATCGTACGTAATATTTTAATTTTAAATTAGCTATAACACGAAATTCTTCAAGTAGTGGACCGCCGCAGGTACACGTACCTGAGAATGTTGAGAATAATGATACCCTCTACAGGGGGCAGGTCGATCACTTTTCCGTCCACCTCAAGACGGATTTCTTTGTGCAGATCCTTCCAGGTCTTCCTGCTCACCATTTTGCGGAGACCCATCTTCACATACACGCCCTTGTTGTGAAGTCTGCAAAATAGTTGAAGATTTACGTTAAGCAGTATTCAGTAGCTGAAGAGAAGGACTAGGTGATAGCTAATAGGCCGTGGACATATCGAACAGAGACTCGATATAGTCAAGAGTCCGACGGAATCCCGTCTGGTCGGGGACAAACATAATGCAAAATAACAAAAACGCCGACCAAGGTGAAATACACAAAACTTAAAAAGACGTTTCGGCTCCCCACACGGGAGCACTGTGAACAAGGCTCCCGTGTGGGGAGCCAAAACGTCTTTTTAAGTTTTGTGTATTTCACCTTGGTCGGCGTTGTTGTTATTTTGCATTAGAGACTTGATATAAAAAGTTTGCGCGAAAAAAATGCAGGTTCACAGGGGAAGGCACGGGGACTAACGCATTTGCGCTTGTCCCCATATCGTTCCTTGTGGACGTGTCTTCGCGAACCTTTCCTTTTGTCGCGTCCATCCTTGTGGACGTGTTGTGACACTTACCCTTCCTCCCCATAATCCATTGTGCATGTATGTTTGTGAACCGTATCATTCCCCGTACTCTGCGTTGTTGACGTGTCTTTATGAACCTTATCCTATTCCGTGGCCCTCCTTGGGGATGTGCGCAAAAAGACACGTTCACCTAGGAAGCGCATGGGCACAAGCGCGTTCGAGCTTTTCCCGCACCTTTCCTGGTGATTTTCGAGCACGCATAAAGCGCCATCTCAACAGCTGGTTCGACATGAAACAGAGGTCTGCTCAGGCACCTTCGCCACTGTGTGCATTCTGTGATGAACTGGAAACAATAGACCATTTCTTTTTGACCTGCAGGCGGTTTAACACATTACGAAAAACCCTATTAGAAATACTTCTGCGTGGTATTGGTATGCACTTATCTCTGCCTGTCATTTTGTCTTTTGGAGCTTCCATTTCTGGTTTCTCTAATGCGATAGTATGCGCGGCCATCCGGGACTATATTGATGAAACTAATAGGTTGACTAATTAACCAGTTTCATTATCCTAACAGGTTCACATAATTATATACGTATAAAATCTGATTATTGCTCTTTTCTGAGAATAAATTCGTTTATGTAAATATTTGTATGCATTACATTTAGCACCACACTTTCCTAGACTATCGGCAATCTTTCTGTTAAACCTCCATCATTCCAAATATGAACAGTAAATGTTGAAACCACTCGATTCTTGGCCCATCCCCCACAGTGGGTATGCGCCACTAACAATAGGAAAACAACCACAACAAGAGAGACTCACCTGCTGTTGAACTTGTTGGGGTTCTCTTCCCGAGCGTTGTGGAAGTCGAGGCAAAGGTCTGCGTCGATGCCGATGCCGAAGTAGTTGTTCATGACGAATATGGCCGTGTTGTCCTCGGACGTGGAGCCCGAGCTGTTTGTGAGTGAGCCGGGCTTCTCCTCCGGCTTTTCATCCGAGTGGAAGACCACCGTCCACCTGTCCAAGCGGAATCTCCTCGGCGTCGATGACGTCCTTGAGCAGAGTGAGGGGGTCCTCGCCACCGGTGTAGCCGGGTCCCCAGCGCAGCACTCGCGCCAGGTCGTTGCCCGTGCCCAGCGGCACGATGGCGCACGGCGGAGACTGGCACTCGGAGTCCTGGCCGACGTTGTCCAGGCACTGGAGCACCCAGCCGACGGTGCCGTCGCCGCCGCACACCAGGATCTTGTAGTCGCGCACGTGCCGAAACACGTACAGCCTGCGATCGTCACGTGGTCTCTATAGTCCTCATCATCAGCCTGACTACGTCCACTGCACGACAAAGGCCTCTCCATGTACTGCTAGTTAACCCGGTCCTGTGCTTGCTGCTGCCAATTTATACCCGCAAGCTTCTTAATCTCATCTGCCCACCTAACCTAGTGTCTCCCCCTAACTCGCTTGCCTTCTCTGGAAATCCAGTTGGTCGCCCTTAATGACCAGAGGTTATCCTGCCTACGCGCTACATGCCCGGCCCATGTCCATTTTCTCTTCTTGATTTCAACTATGATATCCGTAACCCCCGTTTGTTCCCTAATCCACTCTGCTCTCTTCTTGTCTCTCAAGGTTACACCTACCGTTTTTCTTTCCATTGCTCGCTGCGTCGTCCTCAACTTAAGCTGAACCCTCTTTGTGAGTCTCCAGGTTTCTGCTCCGTAGCTAAGTACCGGCAAGATACAGCTGTTATATACCTTCCTCTTGAGGGATAGTGGCAATCTACCTGTCATAATTTGAGAGTGCTTGCCAAATGTGCTCCACTCCATTCTTATTCTTCTAGTTACTTCGATCTCTTGGTTCGGCTCCGCGGTTATTACCTGCCCTAAGTAGACATAGTCTTTTACAACTTGAAGTGCACCATTACCTATCTCGAAGGGCTGCTCTTTTCCGAGGTTGTTGTACATTACTTTCGTTTTCTGCAGATTAATTTTAAGACCCACCTTTCTGCTCTCCTTGTCTAACTCCGTCATCATGAGTGTCAATTCTTATAGTTTCTTATAATAAAGCCCCTCGAATTACTTGCAGGGTTGTATTTACACACTCATTCATCCATGTGAGCGGAGTGCAAATGGGATGGTACCATCTATCAGCTCCTGCCCCCGCTTCGAACAACAACGCGAGACTCTCGAGTGCGTTTTTGAGTAGATGTGTTTATCAGCTTCTTACAAAAAAAAAAAAAAAACCTTGGCCTCGTGCTTCATGAGCCAAGAAGACCATACGAACCCATCTGCGATTCTTGAAAGCTAATATCTTACGTGCTGGACTTCTAGTATGCCAGAACCAATCGAATTTTCAAAAAAAAAAGTTTACAGTAACTGGTAAGGTACTCTGGAGACCGTACGTTTCACGATATAATACAGTTGCAGTCTGCCTAGGTGTCATCAGCGATAGATCAGTGCGGAAGAGCTTAAGTTATTTATGTGAAGGAATCAATTAGCGAAATCATTCATGTACAACCCTCCTGAAAATGTAGCTGTAGAAAACAGATGGCAGCAATCTGCTGTCTTGCCAATGCCAGCCTACGTTAAAGTTAAAGAGATGCCGAAACGTGAGCAAAAATATACCGCAAAAAACAGAAACTTGCTTATTACTCCGGAGGTTGACTGTTCATTCAATGTTTCGTGACCTTGCAGGGGCTCGGCACAAGCACAAGCGAAAGAAAAAAACTAAAAGCCGGCGTCGCAGAATAACACAAATGCTGATGATGTTTATGAGATGTTTAGGTAACATCTGCCGAAATTTCTAACATTGTTGTGTGTTGTTTTTACGAGTGAGTGACGCTGTCGAGGACAGACGTTCAAGTAATCGACCAGATCTTTTAAAAAATTGGGCTCTTTAAACACAATTGGTCTACGACAGTCTGAAACCACTTATTTGAATTTAACTTCAAAGGGGTTCTTCATCAGATGTCCACACATGTTAAAAATCATGGAATAAGTTGCATCAATACAACATTCGTAAGGCAAAAATTAGGAAGAGGACATTTTACGATACAGCCATATAACTTCGCAAGCGCGCTTGATGATTTCGTGATTCAAAAACACGCTACATATAATGATTACTGAATGACCACCGCACTGATTCAGTAACCTTCGCGCGGTAGTGTATGAATCTATAAACACTGGTCTGAGCAAGCGACCGAGTAACCTTTGTATCAAACTGTATCAACGGATAAGTACTGGTCTATACAGCCAACCCTCGCAGACATAACTTACCCAGGTAACGGTCCACTATTCTCCAAATCATACACTTGATAAGGGTTCAACATTTTACGAAAAGATGTGATGAGTTCCAGGCCTTGGCATCCTCCACTCTTCACGTTCACGAATACCAGTAACGGCTGAAAGAAAACAAAAAAAAGTGTGAGAAATCTCGCATCAGGAAGTTTAAACGAGCTGAGCGCGACGGGCACATACAACGGCTGTAAAAACCAGTCTTTCTTTTTATTTTTAGTCAGAATGATTTCAGTCTGGTGCTTCCTTATGGTCTCCACAAGAAACTTTCAATAACGCACGTCATGCATGCATAGTTCGCGCTTAATTTTTTTTTATTTATTTACCCTCAGGGCACGCAATGGGCGTTACATAGGGAAAAGACAGGTGTAGCAATTCTCATGAACATCTAAAATGCGTGATACAAACAAAAACAGGTAAGTAAAATGCTACACACGAGGTAGTACGGCCTCATGTCAAGTTACAAGCATTCTGGTAGGGAAAGAGAAACGAAAAATTGCTAGTAGGGCGCTGCTTTAATAAACTCGCAACATCGTACAGCCGCACTTGCTACGTTATATAAAAAGATAAACTTAGATTATACGAACTGCCTACTAGGGTATCGTAACAATGGAAAAAGGTTACAATCGCAAGAGCTACGTCGCATAGATAGCTCATCTGCAAAACCTCCAACACATGTGTGCATTGCTATGAAAGTATAGGTACTCACCCTGACACCTTCGGGGATCATCTCAGGGATAGTGTTGGGCAGGAGTAGGACAAGGAGATTTTTGTCTTCGAAGCTTGACTCCCTCAGCATGTAAAAAGCCTTCACTGCTATGTCAGCATTGTCATAGGTGATGATCAGGGAACCGTACTCGTAATAAATTGGACCTATCTGCTTAAATTTATAAGCTGTACAGAGAAAGATAGAAAAAAAAAAGAAGTGAACAGACGCTGGTTAGAAAACAGGTGGTGCACTGTGTTTACACAATTCAACTGCTTTGATTACTGTTCAGTGAATACGTACCCAGTCAATGTAAACAATTTTATAGAAGTGTCACTATGAAGGAAAACAATAAAGCTATGTGATAATGGTTGTCCAGTTTGTTTGTTTTTTACCACAAACGCATGGGCTTTTAAAAGGTGTTTAACTGATTCGCGAAACATGAAAATCGAGAATAGGAGCACTACTGACAAGAAAAAAAAAGATACATTGCACATTTCAACACCTAAGCATAGTTACAGATTTTTATCTGTAAGCGATATTTTTGTAGTTGATCATTGCAGTAGCGAAGTCGGTTGCACGACTTTGATGGAAATTGTTCAAAAAGGGTTACAAGAAAAAAAATGGCACCATATAAATAAGAGGCTACGCAGAGCTTTCCGAAAGCTTCAGAAAAGACATGTAGTGAGACTACATTGTTAGTAGCAACTTTAATTAATTAAAAAATGGCGCATGCAGCCAGGCGCGATACTCACGTTTTCCTAAAAGGTCTACTAGAATTTTCTCGTACTGCCTCTGGGATAGATTTGGTGGAAGGTTTCCAACGAAAAGGGCAACGCTAGAGCTGTAACAATCCTCTTTTTGCTGGAGGTAGAACCTGGTCAGGTCTTTCTGCCGTATTGACTCCTATAGGAAAAAGTGAACGAGCGGATGAAACACGTGCCAGCGTTGCAGTAATCGTTGCAGTAATACGTTGCAGTAATCGTGATTCCAGCTAGAAAGTTTAAACCACAGTTCAAAAATCCTCTCGAATAAATTACGAGAACCCATTGAGGTTGTAGTATGAGAATTTGAATGATGAGTTAATTCAGTAATGACCACGATATTTGAATGAAAACAGGATTACCGCTGCACTCATTTGCTATAAAGCAATTTTTTTATGCCAACAGTTTGCCATATTTCCTGCCCCGAGCAGAAAAAATGACTGCAAGAATGCGCATGCAGCTGGCGCCAAAATTTAAGAGACCACTACATTAAAGAAAAGTTTTACTTTCGTCAATGTAGTCGGTGGAACTGCACAGTGCTTAGCGCGTAGCTGGATATAAACATTAAATTCAAGGTTGCCTGTCGCAGCAAGTAACCTTGAACATTTATTTTTATGTCTCGCGGTCTTTAAACTCTTGACGCTGAATGCACTTATGTTTAGGTTTATAAGATGTGGCCGAAATGGTCGAAAGAAATGCGTAAAAAAAGGAAGAAACACTAAAGATGTTTAAGTTAAACCCTTACCACATTACCGACATATTTTAAGTTGCAAGGACACTATTTAAGTCGTTTGAGTCGTTTAGCAAACGCTGTAGCTTGTTGTATATGTAATCTCCGAGTATAATGAAAAATTATCTTGTGCTTAAGCTGATACTTACTCTGGCAATATTTTTAAGCAACACCCAAGGACCTTCTTGATTGTCCATCACTCTTTCATGAACAGCTGCGGGAGAAAACGAAAGAAAAGTTCAAATTGCAAAGCTGAGTCCCAAGCGAACTGGTTATTTAAAGCGAAGATTGATACGTACATCCTTTGTCTAGCGTGACTTCGGATAGCCTGAACTTGTTGATGTCCGAAGAGTCTAGTCCAAATTTTTCGAGAGCCTGGATCATAATTTCTTCTACACTCGTGTCACTTGTCACTGGAATCACGCGGTAAATGTCCGCAGACCTAAAAGAAGAAAATTGGAGCAATAAATGGCCAGACTACTTTCCAACAACTTAAAAAAAACACTATCATCATTTGCAGAAGATCAAGAGTGGGTGCCATAAAACTACCTCTCACTGCTTCACTATTGTACTTCGACCCGAGGCAAGACTGAGTGAAACGAACGGGTAAATGTCAGTATCTATGATAACGATAGTTTTCTGGTAGGCCGCACAGTGGCACGTACCTGTTTGACGATAATACTTTTATTTCTAGTGTAGAAGTGGTGACTAGGGACATTATCCAATTTCTGTGGGGCAAATCGGTTCATGGTGATGATAGTTTTTTGGTATGGCGTGAGCAAGAAACGGTTAGCTAAACAGCCTCACTCTTAAAAGGAGTCTATTAAAAAAATAAAAGTGGTGCGAAATATATGGCCCTGTTTCAAGCTAAGAGTTATGTTGGATTCTATATAATATAAAGTATTAATTTACCTATAAGAAGGGCCAAATAATTGTCATAATAATAATGAAAATGAACTGAATGAGTTTCTTTAAAGAGCAGCAACTTTCCTCGTGAGCAGCTGAAATTGTTGCGCCACCTGGCGGAGAATATCTCAACCGTGTGCTTTTTCCTACGTGGCCCCTGGGATCTGGGATCCCGTGGCCCCTAGCCCCTGGGATCCCGTCGGTAGTGTGACGAAACACAATCGTAACCACAAGAATACACCAGAGAACGTGAACACCGGCGTGCGAGTGCCGCTACCAAACACATAAGTCAATGACTACAGCTCTCTCCAATTACTTTAAATTCTCACAATCTCACAATCTTTTGTTGGTTTGTTTTCGAACAACAAGCCTGTTCATCATTCTGCAAACAACATCGTCCTGTGCCATAGTTGTAGCCTAAGGGCTAGAGCTACTCCTACAAGTGTTGAAGATTGGGAGAGTTGGTTAGTCGTTCTTGAACTGGCATAGGACATTACGGTAAAGAAGAAACGGCCGAGCAGACCTACACAAGAGAACAGAGCGCTAATTTCAGAGTGAGCTAAAGTACGCCATTACAATGTGCACAAAGCAACGCAGGGACGCATTGGAATTCACTGCCACAATCGTGGATGTTCGTCCTTGTTTGATCAATGTGAAGTGGCAAAAAAGCACCCGTCAGAAATGCCCGAGAATTAATAGAGGCGCATTGCATACATCAGAAGTATCAGCGTCCCTTCGTCTACTCCATCTGAACATGAAGTGTCCTTCTTTATTCAAGCGAACAATCTGAGAAACTTTGGTCTGTGACGTTGAAATGGCATCGTCTAATCATGGCGTTACGTTCGGGTGTTTTTGCATGCCTGCGCAAGTCTACATACTCGATGCAATTCGCAATTGGAAATTAGCGCTCTGTCCTCTTGCGTCGGTCCGTTTGGCCATTTTCTTTTTTTCTTTCCCGTAATGCGCTATACGAGTTCCAGGCTACTGTTAATTGTGTGTCCTTGCGGCAGTGAAGGCGTATAGAGAAACGGTGTAACCGAAGTCTCCGGAATGTGTTGGCAACAGATTGAACACCATTTCCAGACTCACCTGAGCTTTCCGGGGAAGACCTTGACGTATCCCTGGTCCGGGTTGGGAGGTCGATACCTGAGGAAAATGGCAGGCCGCTTCCCTTCCCTCCGTGTCAGGCTTTGCACCGGCATGAAGTCGCCCAGTTCTTTCTCGTTCGGGTCTGAAACACAATGGTTGGCTGTGCATGACGCAAGGTGGAGAGTGTTATTACAAGAAAAACAACATCAACAACAGACCCCTATGTTAGCCGAGTACAAGGCGTATAGCGGTTGTACGAGCGAGTAGCTTCAGCCTAGCCGACAATGAGTTTTCATCTATTCATATAATGTGCGCTCTACATACGGCTAATTGTCCACAATATTATTACGGGGCTGATGACTTCCATACAAAATGCATTTACTGAGGAAAAACCATAGGCAAGAGTCACAATGGCTTATTGAGGAGGAGGAGGAATAAATGAGGAAGGACAGGGAGGTTAGCCAGTTCTCAGACCGGCTGGCTACCCTGTACTGGGGAAGGGGGTAAGGGGGATAAAGGATGAGTGAGAAGAGACGTTGTAAAAAAAAGGAGAGAGAAGGTCATCAGACGATCCACGACTCTGTTTACAGTCTGTCTCTAAGACCACTTGCCCGCAGAAAGCGCAACAACGCTCTCAATGCCTTGCGTGCAGAGGACGGTCTCGGCCAGTGTCCTAATACCCTTTCTTCCGACAATTGGCGATTGTCTATTCTATCTAAAGCTTTTGACAGTTCTTTTCTTGGCACGCTGAAGCGGGGACACTCGCAGAGAAGATGGGAGAAAGTCTCTGCGCAGCCACAATTGTCACATGTCAGGCTTATAGCCATTCCGATTCGAAACGAATAAGCATTCGTAAAGGCCACCCCAATCCACAGACGGCACAAAAGTGTCTCCTCTGCTCTGGTTATTCCTGATGGAAGACGGAGCTGTAGGTGTGGGTCCAAATTATGAAGGCGGACGTTGGTGAATGCCGGTGAATTCCACTGAGCGAGTGTCAGTTCTCGTGCAAGTGATCGAAGCCTTGCAGCGGCGTCCGTTCTTGATAATGGTATAGCTACACAAGGGGCATCATCATGAGCAGTTCGGGCTGCTTCATCTGCACGGTCGTTTCCATCAATGCTTCAGTGGCCTGGTATCCATTGATACGCTATGTCATGTTGTTTCTCTATGGCTTATTGGCACACTAGCGTGCCTGTCAGCTGCTTGTCTCCTTCCTCTTCCTTTACTTCATCTCCGTAACAGGACCCCCGGGCGTTGAATGGGGCGTTGGAGCCCCATCTCAGCGCGAGTCCGGAGAAGTGTGACAGAAATAGGGTTTCATGCGAGAAACATGGACAATGTCAACAAGTAACGAACTTGGTGACGTATTGTGGTGCAATTGCGCTATCTCGTCATTGACGTCGCCAACTTGACGTAAGACAAGGTATACAGTCCTGCGTATCGGGACAAAAGTTTTTCGGAGAGACCTACACGGCAACACAGTGACCAGACCACAGACCAACACGGTGACCATTAGCACATTATGTGAATGAGAGGTGTCACGTACCGTACACATCGGTTATGTAGTAGTGCTTTGGATCTCCAGATATATGGAATGCTCGCAATGCAGCACCCTGGAAGAACAAATGCGAATCAACTATGGACATGAACAAAAAAATAGATGGGTTTAATGCTCAGAATTTTTACAGGCTATACAGTTCACGCAGCTAGTACACGCCCTTAGCGACTGTAAAAGTAAACGATGCAGCACAGAGTAGACGCAACCCCGTGAACATTATATACGTATTAAGGCAAGCTATAGGGTAAAAGCGAGCAAATTGAATTTCAAAATGCTCAGCACCAGGAACTTGGTGTCACCATCCACGCAGCAGGAAACGTGGGCTAGGTTTCCACCTAATTTGTTCCCACGCAACTACGTAAGCCAGCACTAATGCGCATGTTCATCTAATGCGTGTCTGCGCATGCTCTGTAGCTCCCGGGAATGAGCCGCGCGCAGCCTTTAGACACCCTATTGAATTACGGATACGTCCAAGCTCTCCGTTTATGATAGCGTGGTTGCGATGGCAGACTCCGTGCTCTTCATCATCCGATATAGAGAGCGAGCTTTGACCGCAAAGTCAGTGGTGGTGTACTTACGATGATTTGTTCCCTAGTTGCATTGCGTGATACAGTGATTGTCCTAAACATCCTTCTCTTCATGGAGGCATTACCGTCGTATACTTTGATTATTTCTGAAATTCAAAAACAAAAAAAACGCAGGTGAATTAACACGTTTGCTTTGAGACTTGTAAGTATAATGAATCAACGCTTAACTGCACATGCTAATAAGAGCCAGCTTCTATCATTGTGAACAATTGATTGATATGTGGGGTTTACCGTCCCAAAACCACCATATGATTATGAGAGACGCCGTAGTGGAGGGCTCCGGAAATTATGAACAAGAATATGAGAAACTGCGAAGGAGCATCTGAGAGCCAGCCTCCATCATTATGAACAAGAATATGAGAAACTGCGAAGGAGCATCGACGTACCTTCATCTTTATCTTTTTCTTTTGGTGACGGATAATCATCGAATTCTTTGCTTTTGAGGTCCCCTGTCGATGAGAATTCCTCCGATATGCTTCTTGCTGAAATTTAAGACACGCAGCACTTCAGTCACAGTCTGTGTGTACCTGTAGCGTTCACAAGGTTAAGCACGACATACCTATTTTTTTCCCTTTACTTATGTAAATGCACATTTTTTTATAGAGTAAAAGGTACATGAGCGTAACATTTAAAGTCATGTATAGTACAACAGACCATGATCTAAATATTACTAGAAAGAATTGCGTGAAAGAAAAAAAATTGAGAGAACAGACAATAGGGAGCGTTCTCTGAAGTGTGCAATAGTACAGCCAAATTGTAATTGCAAACAACGACAATGGGTCTTACCTGCACTGTAGCAAAATAACGCAATACGTAATGTCAAAAGAAAAGTTAATGGAACAAGCGCTAAGAAAAGAACGCCGACTCTATTAGTAATTGCGCTGTTTCTACCATGTTATTCTGCCTTGTTAGCTAGCGAGTAGTGAGTAGTTCGCTACTCTCTCGTAGTGGAGCGCATGATACCCTGAATCATTTGAAATTTTTCTAAACGCAAGAGCTATGCGAACACAGCCTGCTTTCTGAGTGTCGTCTGTGAATGTTTCTTTTTTTTCTTATCAAATACGTATACCAGGTAAACCAACGTAAATATTTCGTTATCGCGGTTTTCTTTTTTCGAGCGAAATCAATGCTATAAGATAACGTAAGCTCAAGTGGCGTGGAAAGTCACGGTTCCATAAAATTATGGCTCCTCGTATGAATAGTTCTGCCCAATAGAAGCCCCGCATCACACACACGCACGCGACACTGAATACTGCACTTCTTATTCAACGGCTTCGAGGAACACCATCGAATTGTGCTATAGACAGATCTCTCATGTAATTGCCCAAAGCGACAATAGTTCGTTCCGTTCATCTATACACCAGGCAGCTTCAACTATGGAATCAGACAGTATCAACACTATCGGATAGTATCAATGCGCTTGTCTTACATACCCTCTTAAGCTTGTTGACGTCACTCCACGAAGAAAGTTTACGACACACGTAAATTGAGTCCCGGAGTGTAAATTCACCAATTCAGCGAAACTTGCGTCGCTTTCGAGCACTCCAAAGCATTCTCGCGGCATGCATGCTTTTACATACTCTCAAAAATTTTCAAAATCCAGCATTCCGAGCACATTCGACTGGCTCAACCCAGAGCTCGGAAGCACTTTAGCTCATATAGCATTCGGAGGCGCTATCAGCATCGTTTTGAAAGAGCGACAGAAGTCCGATGGAATCGCGGTCACGTGGCTTTCTTGAATGCTCCAGGAGGAAATTAATTGTTCGACCATAGAGAAACATACTTACATAAAGAGCCGGACAATCCCGTAGAGCCCTGCGGCCCAGCTACTGCGCTGCTTTCAGCGCCACAAGTGGCTGGTCAGACCCGGTAATGTCTTCAGCATAAATAAAGTAACATTTTTTTTTTCCTTTCCGGTGCTGGGATTTGAACCCGTACCCTCATGCTTCGAAAGCGAGTGTGTTTAGTGTAGGCTACACGCCCATGCGTCCGCAAAGGGAATACACGTACAGTACATCTAAAATACATGATTGTGCCTCTTTGTGCAAAACAAATTCAGAAAGACAACACTTTCTAGTCATGCGCTGCTGTTTTCTGTTGTAAGTCATTAAACGTCCTAAGCAGAACATGATGTACAGCGGATACAGAAACTTGCACAAGTTAATAAAATTTCTTATGTACAAAAAATTGACGTCAAACTTTGGTAATCAATGTCCTCCTGAGGAGGCTATTACATGCCTTAACAAAGGAGTAAAAGCAAGCATGGGCACGCCATCTAGCCGTTGGTCAGACCCTTTCTTGTTGGGCCGCGAAAAGGCGCCAGTGGCCACTCTTTATGTAGTATATTTCTCTATGGTTCGGCGACCTTCCACATCAGCTTCGACCTCGATTAGAGTTCGCGTCGATAAAAAAACAAGGTCGTAGAGCCGTAACACGTGGCATAAGAAATCAGTCGAATGTATACCATCAGCGTTACCAGCGTTATAGTCTTGAGTGCCCGTTTAAACGAGCACCAGCGGAGGACACTTGCCTATGCTGGGGTAAGTGGCCCGCGCTAGTGTCTCCCTCCTCCGCATCTCCACTCCGATGATGGTTTCCAGGGGAACGTCCGTGCGCGGAATGCTGACGGCAGCCGGAGGAAGCATGATGCTCTCCAGGACGCCGAAGTTGCACTCCTGCGACAGGGTCCGGTAGCAGGTGGCGTGCGCCTGCGCAGTGGGAACGCGACCGCATGGGCGGCTGTTCGACGCGCAAGTGGCATATTGTAAGTGGAAACTTGCGTTACAGGTTAAAAACTATGGGACTGAACGTGCCGAAACCACGATATGCACGCCACCGTGGAGACGATAGTTATAGCGCGAGAACAGAACGACGGCAAAGAGACAAGAAAGACACAAGCACAAGAAATCAGTCGCGCTCGTGTCCTTCTTGTCTCTTTGTCGTCGTTCTGCTCTCGCGCTATAGCTATCGTCATGTCATACCAACTAGCCCAAACTGCCACACTTCGCAGTGGAGAACTGCGGAAGTTTTGGGCCATTTTTTTGGCGATTCCGAACGTGCGCGGAAATCGCACAGTACCCGGGCCTCTACTGTGTAGCCTTCATCTAAGTGTGGCCGATATCGAACCCACGACCTTCGGGCCAGCAGCCGAGTACAGCTGTATCACCAGTGCCGCCACTAAATGAAACTATATATAGAACATGACGGAGCTGTCACAATACGAGAAGATGGCTTCCTTCTCGCCACACTTCCTCCTCACCACTTATTTCTTCGGAAAACACGTGCAATGGCAGAACTTAAGCGTTATGCCCGCGACAATATCGCGTTTTTCGATGACCCATCGCTATCTCCGCTAGCGCAGTCGCGAACGCGGCGAACGACGTTAAATCAGTTTATCGCGCACGATAGTCGGGCGATACAAGGCCGAGCGTGTATGTGACTGCATCGCAAAGGAAAGTAGGATTAAACTCCCAACAGATATATCTCGTATATCGACGAGGGGGTCTGTTTCATCATGACGTCCCGCTAGCAAACTGCTGTTGCCACTAATTGTGCCGCAAAGGCGGAAAACGAACGGAAAAAGTAACGCACTCTTTTTTTTTGTGATTTTAGGGGCTGTTTAGGAGCCCTTTAACGTCACACTTTATATCTCTGTATCACATACCAGCTTCGTTCCGTTTCACAAAGCGGATGCACAAAGAATCTGCATTAGCTGAATTAGCTGCATTCAGGGGCACGCTGCAGTTGCCTTAATGAAACAGGTGTTGCTTTTATTTTTCTGCAAAGTAACAGCGAACACTTCACGTTTATTCCTTCCAGCAGCAGAAAATAGAACAGGCACCTCTGTTTTCAATGACGGACGGCTCCAAACAAAAGGCTGAACGCGAGCCTCTCGTTCAAGATCGAACAATTTGACCTCTCGCCAGCGCTTCACTGCCGAGAGACTCGACAGCTTTCAGCTGTATTGTGCTCACCAAAACCCGCGTAGACACACCGCTTGCAAAGCGGGCCGGTTTGTTTTCGAAGCTTTTAAGAGTTCCGGTTATACGGAACGATGTATCCCTTCCTTTTGCTCGATTTATTTTTTTCTTGACCCCCCCTTTGCTAAGTTCCGGCGCTAAATGAGCAGCAATACCAGCATGTGTAGACGGGAGAGTTGTGATGCCTTTAATAGACGGCACGGGCAAAGTGGATATGCTATGCGCGCACCAGGAAGGGCAGAAAGGCGATTGCTGTAAGCTGGACTTCGGGCGTAAGATATAGAGTGAGAGCCGCTGCTCTTAAAGGATGCGCCTGGATATAAGCACTGTGGAACGTCTTCCACAGGTCTAAACTCGCACAAGGAAGCTTTTGCAGGGAAGCTGCGCGCAGCTGATACGTTCGAAAATGTGGTGTTTTGTGAATGCGCAGAATTTATAGCGAAGAAACAGTGCTAGCATACGCTGCCTCCAAGGGTCCCTGACCTTGCACTAGTTTTTCTTCTGGTCTCGTCGACGTATGACACCCACTGCAGCGTGAGTTTCTACCCATAAAAGCCTTTAGGTGTTCTATATCATTTAAGCTTTAAGCATGCAGCTCTTAAACGTGGTGACATAGACATCAAAATGTACAGCAGAAGACACTTCGGTAGATCGAAGTTCGTGCAGAAACATCGGAGTCGCACGTTTCAGCTTCGCTGGTTGATTAGTACGCAGCGTTTCGGGCGATGTTTTTGAGTGCAGCTGCTATCACAAGCTTCTCTTCAGTATAGGGCATTCACGTAAAGCCACCGATCGCTTGGCGCCGTCCCGTTTGCCGATTTCTCGGCACGCCCGGAAAGAAATTAGCGGGTGAGTGAATCAACAGGGCACGCAACTTCCACACTATACGCTACAACATCACGGAGGCCGCTTTGGCGTCGGTACAACGTTGTGACGTCAGTGCCTTGTCCTGAATCTGTACCCCTCACCCTTTTCTCTCTTTTTTTGTCCTTTTGTTTCGCGATCTGCAAAGATGATCGCGACTCTGCGACAATATCTCCTAATCTCTTTTCGCTGTTTAGTGCTTCAAACTATGTAGTAGGCCACAACGTACCTTTGGTCTCCTCACTTTGGCTGTAACTCGACCCTTAACGACATTTTTTTTTCGCAGTTTCTACTTCATAATACTGGTACCATTCCACGCTGCCCTCGCAACATCTACGCAGTAGCCCGCTCACCGATGTGGACGTCGCTACGCCCCCGCTCCATGGAGACGCAGCTACGATATACGCTTTCGACTGCGCGGCGCAAGGAACGCCACGATTGACGCGTGTTTGTTTTCCTATGTCGACGCCCACAAAGCGCAGCGTATCCCGCGGGATAAAGCTCGCCCTCTTGTCTTCGCATCGCCGGCTCAAAGCAGCAAACCAACAGAGTACCCCCCCCCCCCCCCCCCCACCGTTCCCCCTTTCTCTGTTTCTTCAAGCGAGCCACGTCATTAGTGCCCTGTTTCGATGGCGAAACGAGATGGCAAAGATAGCTCAGAATGCCTCGCTACATTCTGTCTTCTCGAGCTTTTATTTGGCCCCACTCTCCCGTCGACTATTTACATCGTGTGGCTCCCAATAAGACCACGCCACACAACAACATCATCGCGGAATCAGACGCAGTTTGCGCATGCTTACAGCGCCGAAGGGATTGGCAAGAATAGAACATGATACAACAAAATGTTTGTTTTCTTACCCCTGTCTTTGAGTTACAGAGTATGCGTAGCCGAATAAAGTAAATCGTAAGCCATAAGTCTGACCAGAGTCAATGTACAAAGCGACATTATTGTCCGAACGCAATGAATCATGGCGCGCATAATGACGAACAAGAGCAGCTTCGCCGCGGTGTTAACAGGTTAGAAAGAACTTACCGAGCTTAGTGGAAGATATATGCAGATAATTCTGATCTTTGCGGCTCTTTTAGAAGACTGATACGTAGCAGTTTTTGTAACAGCTATTACATAATCACGACTGACGTCGTAGACTATTGAATTAAGCGTGAACTGATTAATTAGTCCAAATGAATGTTCTTATACTACCATTTACTTGCAAACTTCATAATTGGACCACTGCCTAGTTCTCTGCCGTCGTCAATAGAACTTCCTTTGTGTCGCCACGCGTCCTGTGGCTGTAGTACACCATCGACTCTCAGCCCAAAGCAATACGTGGCAGGCCCAGCTTCATTGTTGTATACTAGGAAACTGAATGCTCACAGTTTCCTCTGTAATTCACATCTACGACCGAAACATCTTTTCTTTTCTTTCTTTCTGTTTCTAGCTTCAGGTCCCTTCACTTGATTCAATGCCACGAGCAAACTAGTGGTCCAAGTACTGCACCAGAGAGGCCAATTCATGTCGCGGTGAGGAAGAGTGTTGTTGAAGCTCAGCGGCCCTATCAACGCCTTATATAAAAATTATACCTGGAACGTGAGCTGCGAACGCGCTGCCCCACCCTCTGATTTTACCCTCCTCCTTCGGTACGAAGGCGAGCGCCTCTGACGGCCGCCCCCTGCGAACAGCGACTGCGGAAGCTCTTACCAACGGCCCACCCTGACACACGGGTGGCAAGCGGCAAACCTCCACCATCCCTTCCGGAGACCGGCCTGGACAGATGCGAGCGGCGGTTGTTGCTTCGCCTGCGTACTGGCAGCGTCTGGCCTGCGGCACGCATGTATTCCGCGGGTCGCTCTTCATCGCCAGCGTGCCGAAGGTGCGGTGATGACGAAACGCTGCAGCATATTGTTTGCTCCTGCCCTGACCTGGCCACTGAGCGTTGCGCACTGGTAAGCCGCTATCGTCTGCTTGGACTACCTGCCGAAACAATGGAAGACATACTTTTTCCCGCGCGCTCGAAGACGAAAGCCCTTCGAGCCTTCCTCGAGTTCTGTGCTTGCGCGGACCTCGCCGCCTTATAGACGGACTCTTTTCACTCGCACTACTGACTGTACTGACAAGACGTTCTCTTGCCATGACATTCACTTTTTCTTTCCTTCCTCTCTTCTTCCTATCATCTTTACTTCCCCTTCCCCGATCCCTAAAGGCGCTGAGCCGTGCCCCCGCGACGGGAGGCAGAAAATAGCGTCCTTTTTGTCTCTTCCTCTTTCATTAATCTCTCTCTCTCTCTCTCTCTGCGAACACAGCAATACTCTCACAGTTGCCTCCGAGCAGCTGTGATGTAACGTGATAGAGCGGTACGGTAATATCACGTGACAGAGCGGTACGGAGGCCAGCGGTCTCACGCGGCGGCCGGTCGCAACACAAGGCAGGAGGCATGGCCTCCGAGATCGCGTGCTGGCAGGAGGCTCCCAATTGAAAAGAGAGCGCCGTTCCAGGCATAGTTTTTCTAGGAGGCGTTGCCCTAATTCATAACGTGACTGCAGCCGCACTTGACAACATCGAAGGACAAAGGAAAAAGAATTCCGGAAACGGGCTCGCACTTACCGTCACGCCGCACCACTCGCATCGCATACCGGCCAGACACTCGGCCGACCAGCAGGTCTTCTTACACAGCTGGCACTTGGAATTAGCGGGTAAGTTGCCTTCCCGCCAGTGGTGGAACTGCATCACCGACGGCTGCAAAGTGGGCAGAGTTGCGGGCGGCAACGCTATTACTGATCAACAGCGACTCGCGCACACAACTTTACGAGCAGGAACGATTGGAAACGCCATTCTTGCTAAACCGAGTCCTACGCGCCCCTTGTAGTTGGCACACAGTCGTATGCAAACGCACGAGCCTAACTCTGTGGAGGTGGTGTCACCCCCAGCAAAGTCGTTTTCGCCTCATGGCGCCCGTGCGTCGTAGTAAGCGTAGTTAGCTTAGTCACCCCCAAGCCTTGTCTTGATCGGCGCAGAATAATTTCCAAACTTAAATTTCTGTATCATTTGTGTAATGAGCATTACAAAATATACGGAACACAACATTTCCTTCAACCCCTCGGACACTCCTGAAGAACTAACCACAACAAGACAACATGACTGCCTAAAAGTCAAAATGACATTCATAAAAACTATGTTTTCCCATCATCAATAACATACTGCGATAGTCTACCATCACATGCGGTGAACTCTGAAACGGTAGAATCTTTCGCTCAAGAAATCAACGATATTTTTTTTGTTCTACTCAGTGTATTACATTTTTGTATTATGTTCACATGTGATATAAACACTATCTTTGAAAGTGTTAACAACCATCCAACATTAAACTTTTTTGTGTTCTTTTTTTTTTACTTTTTAATGTGACTGTCACTTTCGACAGATTTGTATTACCACTCCTGCTTGGACCGAGAAGGCCTGAAGTATATTGAAAAAAACAAAAGGGAGGTTTAGTATAACCTCCTTGGTCCCCACCGAGCGAGAGTTGGCGTTGTGGCAACTCTCGCTCGGTGACGCCAGTGACGAGAGGTGGCGAGAGGTGACGCCAGTGGCGCTATCTGGCGGGAGCTAGGTTACGCGGGGTCATGACTCGTGACGGTCGTATCTCAAGGGTGGTCCGTGTGAACGATACCGCGGCTCGTTCCCGCGGATACCCGCGGTGTGTCGAACATGAGCGACACAACGTTCACTGTTACAATGTGTGATTTACACTGATATTTTATTGTATTATTTGGCAACACTAGTTTTCTAAAGTTAGGCTGGCGAGCGTAATTTCTGTTAATAAACATCACATCGCATATATTCCTGACACTACGGTGTGTGCCGTGTTTTTCTTCCAAGACGGGCTCTGTCAGACCTCGCCACATCGATTCATGGAATAACGCATGAACAGGATGGACAGCCGTTGCCAGAATACTTTGGTCAATTGCATAAAAAAATGTATATGTATTCAAAGAATCTTCACTACCTAACATCCACATCTAAGTGGTGATTTTTTTTTTGAGTGCGAGAAGAAACGCACTGAGGCATTTAAAAACGGTGACAGGATTGTATGGCATGTTTTTGGGTGCCAAAAGTGTGAAAAAAAAGAACACATGCCCATCAATTACTATTCGAAGAGCAACGTATTTCTACATCCGCTCAAAACTGACTGACCACCGTGCTTTGTTTAAATGTAATGCCATATGACGCTAAAAAAATAAACCGCCTTCAGGTACTAAACCAAACGCGTCAAACAGCTGAAAAATATGCAAGTTGACCGGATGCTACACTTCAGAAAGCGCGAAAAACAGTACGCTAACACTTTCCTGCATTACTTCACCAGTGCCGATACCGTTTTGTGAGTGATAAAGTGAGTCGTGTAAAATACTGCAGTCACAACAAAATACACTATACTTTATAGCGTTCTAGAGTCATTTTCGTACATTCTTTCAATCAATTCATCAACGGTTTTGCGGGTGAGAACATCGTACCGCAGTCTGGGCAGGCCGTGCGATACTCACTTTATTTCTACTTGGAGCATAAGTAGCGCATTGTTTGCAGTCCGCAACGCTGAAGTCTTGGCACTCCAAATGCACACAATATTCACAAACTGCGCATTGAGAGAGAAGAGCAAGACATCAAGTCAGGGAACATAGTCCAAAGACACTGAGCGAACATCGTTCCACACAAATAACCGCTCTTAATTTTTGATGCATCGTCAGTGTGTTCACAGAGGTCATGCATTGCGGCTTGTTTGCTGCTTGGGCAGTCCAAACATTTCAACAAGAACTCAACGGACGCTCACCTTCACACCTAACTGCACAGTTGTCTTCGATTCGTTTCCTGCAGACATTGCAAAATTTTCTTTTGAGGTGGCCTGCTTCCGTCCAGCAGTGGGGCACTGGGTTCTGTAGGAAATAAAACAATGTCAGAGGGTGAGACGACGTCGTAATATAGTAATAGCAGTAATATCAATAGTAATATAGCTGTAACTGCAGTCATAATAGTAATACTTTATCGAATGCTTAATGTATGATTTAGAGATTATTCCTAGTTTCCAATGTCCATGCTTATATCATTTGCACAGAGCCCTTGAAAAGCAATGAAAAAGTATGGCCCGGCCGAGCCTGAACATAACACTAAGTGTGAAGATGATTAGACGCATTTGAAGCACTGTTCATACAGCAGATTACTATGAAATATTTGCCGTTGCTGCTCAACAACGTAAGTAAAAATAAAGCGAATAACCCGCTTATTCTCATATAGGTCTGAACGTTAACATTCTACGTTTCTCAGTTTACAAGCCATACTCCTTTGTTGAAATTTTCAAATTCACTTTTTGTACTTACAAAAACACTCTTTACGTAAAGAATAGTAATATTACCAAATGCTTTATAAAAGATACCACCACATAAAATCAAGCAAAATCGTAAAATAAGAACAAGAACGAAAACAAAAAGGCTGGCGCATGCATAAATTACCATAATCTTCTTTAGTAACGTTTTTTTTTTCAACTGAAGTCTTCGTTAGGTGCTTGTGGTGCACGTAATAATTAGTCGTCTTTTTTCTGACTATTTGTTTCAAACCTAAACAACAATGGTAGAAAATTACCCTTGCCGTGACAAAATGCAAGCAGAGTGTAATGAGGATAAGTGGATTCATACTCACTTTGATTACATTGATTGCAATAGTTGAACAAGGAGAAACCACAGTCTTGAGGCATCTGTCGTGAACTACAAAATTACAAACTGCAAAGAGAAAAACAGAAGAAAACGACAGTAAGCCTGCTGAAGTTCCACCTCTGTGGAACATTCAATACGCTTCGATCAAGCCAATGTCACAGTTATACGATCTCTGTGGACATCAATTTTGTTATTTTTTTGTCCTAAAAAACCATAACGACATGGTACATGAATCTCTAAGTAGGCTCTTTGTTATAAATGCATTTCAAAGAGGCATGATGCGTGAGGTGCAAGGCGAATATATTAATAAGCAGACGTGACTGCGTCTTCCGATTCTTTCTACTTATTTCGAACACGTCGAGGCTGAACTGACGCACAGCTGATAAGAACAACTGTGCCAGCTGGTCTGCGAAAAATTACTCAGCAATTAAACAGTTGCAGTGCTTGCGTAAAACAGGGCTTTAATCTGCTATTATCACTCTTGTGTCAAGCAGCCTGCTACGAATAAAAAATATATGGAAAACCTCACGCATCGCAGAGAAGTGAAATCCTCAAAGCAACAAAATGGGCTCAGTCCAGGTTTAAACGCGATAAATGTCTTAATACATGACATTTAGTGGCATTGTGGTCGGACACATTAAGAAGCAGAAGCATATCAACGATGTCAAAATAGTTTTTTTTTTATGAGGATTCAAATCGCAAAGCCAGGAACATATCAAACCATATCTAATCACCCTTGTTGAGGTGTATCTTATCAAACTAGGTTGGGTTGACGCAAAGGATTCACATACATCAGACGAAATAAAATTCACAAAGAAAGCACGCCCTAACTATTTACCAAACAAATCAGATATGGAATCTGTATTGAGCTCTGAATCTGGATGAGTTCTGAGATCAAATAATTAGTTGATTGATGAAAGAGAAAGAAATCATTTCGTCTAAAACTGACTACAACAGTTATCGTCACGTGTGGGAAACACAATGTAATGAATTCTTCCGGCTTAGAAAAAAAATTATAACACAGTTTTATGGCCCCGACATATAGGCTCATCTGCGTGCTCCCGTATATTGGCACTGACTCTCCCTGCCTTTTGGTGACTCGTGTTCTTTTACATGTACATATACGCTACTAAGTACTTTCTTTCAGCTACACGTACATATACATATACATATACCAGAGGGCCAGCGTCTGAAAAATGCTGCTTCAGCTGACGGGCTTGGCCTGGCGGTCCTGACGTTGAAGTCACCCACTGCCCACAAGCGTGCGTCTTGGCGGAAAATAAAGTTTTACGCCCATCCACCAACCCATGCCTACCTGTAATACTCTAATAAATACAGCAGTAACTATTTGTCGGCTCACACCAAGAACAAGTAATAATGATTGCAGGGGTCTTACGTGCAAAAATTATATGATTATGAGACACACCGTAGTGGGGAGCTCCAGAAATTTCAACCACCTTGGAGTTCTTTAACATTCACCTAAATCTGTGCACACGGGCCTCTACCACTTTCACTCCCACCGAAAATGGGACCACAGTGACTGGGATCGAATCTAAAACCTTCGGGTCAGCAGCCCCGCACCGTAACAAGAACAAGTGGCATGAAACCCACGTACAAGCAGGTATAATTAAAATGCTGTATTCATTACAGCATTTTAAATAAAACTCAGTATAAATTAAGAACCGCACTACATTGACTGACTTTTAGCAGCCTTTCTTCCGAAGACTATTGACTGTTTCAGCAAGTTAACACGATCGGCTACTTAGAACTCAATGACGTGTTTCTTTTTGTTTTTTTTTTACTTCCTACTATGCCTCTATGAGCGACGAAAATAAAAAAAAGAAACTCCAGAGAACAAATCACGTTTTCTCGCCTAGTGATTGATAGAGCTCCGCGTCGTGGGCGTCTCTGTGTCGCACACCGGCAGCAGCACATGTTTCCTCGAAGATCGCGGGGGAAGGTGTCTACGTCATCATTTCTTCAAAAACAGCGGATCAAAGCGTCATCCTCCCACGATCGACAGTGCCGGAGCTGTAACGCGTGGGCGCTCCATATTTTCGCCGTAGAGGAATAGGAACCTCTATGCCAGCTGCACGGTGCGCGTCAGATAGGCATCACCGTGAGCACAGAGAAAGAGGGTCACAGTACCCTCCCTCCCATCTCCACCCTGAACATATAATGGGGGTTGCCGATTCCGTCCTATAGCTCACTCCATCGGACCTTTCACGTCATTTTACAGCGAAACCTGTTATGAGATCACAACTCGGGTCAGCGCTGGTGTCCGCCGCCGCCCTCGCCGCTGCCAGCGCCACCGGTGTCCGTAACCACATCGGGCGAAATTAGAGGGGAAAAAAACCTAGCACCAATGACACAGTGAGACTCGAAGCCGAGTCCGCTGGGTACCAGCCCCAGTACTCTATACCGCTGAGCCACACCGGTGCTTGGGATTTCGCAAACTTGCCTTAGGCAGGCTTGTTGTCGGGCAAGCAATCGCGTTATCATGACTTAGAAAGCGCTTTAAAACAGCGAAAGAACAAGCAGTCGTCGCATCGTGTGAACAGCGCAACGAGTGAGCCGTCCGATGCTCCAACTCGTTACAAAAGCTTGTTCTTGTTCTCCTATTAACTGTGGCGCATACTTACTTCAGTCATAATAAAGTCGGGCAGGTCATGACGCCAATGTTGTAGAAAAGGTCGTTCCATTCAGATGTTCACCGTGGAAAGAAAGCGGCAGAAAATGTCTCGGTGTGGTTGCGCGGACGGCTGACTTGCAGGGCATGACTGGTGCGGTGCGATGAGAATTATTTTAACTATGCAGCAACTAGAACCTCTGAAATATTTTAAACTGTCGGCTGTAATATAGCAGCGACTGTAGTATTTAATGTATTTTGTCTACAGCTTTTTAATAAAACTGATAGTTAGATATATTTTTCATGGGTTAACGTCATCATTAACTTTACAGTAAATATAGTTCTTGAAAGCTGACACTATTGCATCTGCAACACTGGAGCTTTATAAAAGCAAAATGTCCTATCCTGTAATCAACAGGGTGTCAAAACAGCCGTAAGTACATGGGCTGTATGCATCTGGGTAATCCGATGATGAAAACAATAAAAGTATCACCTCGCTGTTCCCAGTCTCATTCCTTCGAGCATTTTTCTTTGTAGCTTATTATTCAGAAAAAAGTTATTCGAAAAATATTCGGCATTTCGATTATGCGCTATTTGGATTCAAGTACCGAATCGAATGAAACGTCGGTTAGATTTGTTATCCAAATTTTTTTAACATTCGTAGATCCCTAGTCGTTTCAGTTATGTGAGCCGCACTTCCGTATATCGCTGCCTAGTAACAAAACAAGCGCACTGAGGAAATACCCGATGGTGCACTTCCAACTGAAGTCTCATAAAAATAATGAAAAGCTGAAGAATATGGTCGTGTGTCAATGTTTTGATATGCAATGTTAAATAGAACCAAACTAAGCCAAATTACTGCGGCACATGGCGCTACACCATCTCTCACGAGGTTATGTGCCCATTTCGGACGTTAAATATCAATATTTTCATTTTTCATACATACATACGTACATACATACATGCATGCAGCACGACATACATACATACATACATACATACATACATACATACATACATACATACATACATACATACATACATACATACATACATACATACATACATACATACATACATACATACATACATACATACATACATACATACATACATACATACATACATACATACATACATACATACATACATACTACATACATACATACATACATACATACATACATACATACATACATACATACATACATACATACATACATACATACATACATACATACATACATACATACATACATACATACATACATGTGAGTGCGCGCGATCAAAATCTTCCTAGACTTCATAATGTAGGTCACGACCTGGGTAGGCTAAAACATACAGATATGGTAAGTAATCGCAATCAGTCAAGTTGATAGCGAATCGGTCAATCAATGATCCAGTCTTCGCACAGAACATTCTCAAACTTCCTGGCAAATGCCGGTCACAAGATTAATGAATTGCTCTCTGAAGGAGAGGTCCGCACAATATCTGCCCGTTTCACGAACAAACATGCCGAACGCCATCGATAGTTTCCATCAAGCGGCACGGCCGTTATTCGGGGAAAAAAATTTCTTGCCGTTCCTGCAGACACGCAGCAAAGCTATATCCCGAACGCAGCGACGACTGTGGTGAGACGAGCAAAGGAGGGCAAAATATTGATCCACCGTCTGGCAACAGAGTTCGAGAAACAAACAAAAAAATGTGAGGAGCCAAGCCCGAGATGTGTTACGTTTGGAACTAAATGTCCGTGTTGTCCCCCTCTTTCCTCCTGCTGGTGCCGCAGTGGCCTCCTCTCCTGTTACAGATTCGGCGCAAACTGCGTTTTCCCCGCGTCCGTAGTGCCCCCTGTTTGGCACAGCCGAATTCACGCCGAGCGTTAGCTTGTAAGCCAAGATTTCGCTCACACCCAAGTCCACAAACTGTGGAACTTGTCATGCACATCTTTGTTACAACTTTATGCGATGAGCAGCCCAATTCAGAAATTTTGCATGAATGTTCCTCGGGTTTCACTCAAATTCGGCAGACAAAGTTACTGTTACTTGAAATAACAACATTAGAAAATGTTGGCGTACGTGGTAGAACGGGTGACACCGATATGCATTGCGGCACCGGTATTTTTTTTTTCGATAAGAATGAAGGGGAGGGGGGCTATTCGACTGAGGAAGGAGGAAGCAGAGGGGAGCAGGCAAGTAGCTTGAGGGTCACTCCCCTCCCCCCCTTCCACCCAAACTTCCCCGAATTTCTTTCTGCCGCCAGCTCTGCAATGCTTAGATACAAAGACACGCAACTGTACGTTTCCGAAAGACTAAACGTTCTAGTTATCCATCTTAGTGACCAAACATTGCTGCTATCTTAAACAGTGTTGAACCTTACGTCTCAGCCTGCCGTAGTAATACAAGCCGCTCGGTGGGGCTAGAAAATTCCTTTATTTAAG